GCTGTTTTATAATGCTCTATGAGGCATTGCAGAGTAGGATGTTGGAGGTCTTTTGTGAAGCGATTCTTCATTTCTTTTGGTCAGATGGCTCTGATATGTAACACTGGGTAATTAGGAATTGTTTTGATTCTTTTGTGATACATCTGTGTATGTATCTGCTGCTGAATGTTTTATAAACTTAACTGATGAATTGAATTAATCTGAATGATGTATATGATGCTTATGTTAATGAAATGATTTCAATGTTTAGATGTTTCTGCTTTATTCTAAATATTGATATGTGGGTTTTAAGCGTTATGCTTTGTTTTTAGTTGAGATTTACCCCTTTTGTTACATATCTTTATGAGCAGGTATTATTTATGTTTCGTTTCGATGATAATGTGATGCGCCTCTTTTATGCCATGTTATAATTATACTCTGATGGAATTTTATTAAGTGCCTAAATGATTTAATTGTTTATTTTGGGGGTATAGAAAGGAGGTGTAGAGTTAAGTGCCTAAATGATTTAAGTGCCTAAATGATATAATATTTCTTGAAGGAAATTGGGTGTAGAGTTAGAGTTAAAATATAAACTCTAATATGGATGTAGAGTTAGAGTTAATATTTCCTTACAGAGTTTGATTCAAATTGCCTGTTCATAATATTTCTTTTGGACACATTGGAACTTGAAAAAATATTGAAGAGTTTGATTCAAATTGCTTGTTCATAATATTTCCTTACTATTAATATTTCCTTACTCCTTAGTCCTTTTGTATGATGAAATTGAATGAATTTTGGATGAGTCTTGAAGATAAAAATGTCAAATAATTTTGATGTCAATTTGGTTCTATTTGGGTTTAAATTGAGTAATAGAATTTTTATGATATACCATTTTGTTAGAAATGATTTTTATGATTTAATTTAATGTCACATGTTTGCACGTAAAGACTTTTGTTCTCTCTAATGTGTCTAAAAGAGGGAATATTGTAGGCGTCACAGTGATTTAACTCTGTATGTGTTAATTTCGAAACATAGGTATGGATCATAGTTGGATAAGAGCTAATCGATCAAGTGCTGAGTACGAACATGGAGTGATGTAGTTTCTACAGTTTGTTGAAAGTAATGCTAAAAAAAATCTTCCTTCTTCTAAAAGTAATGCTGAAAAAAGTCATCATGTGCTTTTTCTCTATCCATGTGTTCGTTGTGCAAATCAAGAACCAAAACTTAATAAAAAAGATATTATGGATCATCCAATTTGTGAAGGGATTTGTCAAAGTTATACACAATGGATATGACACGGTGAAGTAGTAGCAAAGTCAAATGTGTCCCAAAGAGATAATGTTAGTGTAGAAATGGATGATCATATGGAAGACATGATGCGTGATATTGGACAAGATTCATTTAAGAGGGCACATGCGTATGATACTTTATGCAGTGACAAGGATAAACCTTTGTACCCGAGATGCACAACCTTTACACGTTTGTCAGCCGTGTTAAAATTGTTTAATTTGAAGACAAATAATGGATGGACTGACAAAAGTTTTACCGAATTGCTTGAATTGTTGACACAAATGCTTCCAGAAGGTAACATAATGCCAAATCGTTATTACGAGACAAAGAAATTATTGTGTCCGATGGGTTTGGAGTATGAAAAGATGCATGCATGCCCTAATGATTGCATATTATACAGAAAAGAGTATGTAAACTATAATTATTGTTCGAAGTTCAAGGTGTCACACTACAAAAAGAAAGATGGTGATTCTAGTGATGATGATGAGGTCAAAAAGGGTCCTCCCGCGAAAGTAGTATGGTACCTACCAATAATTTCAAGTTTCAAGAGATTATTCGCTAATGCAAATGACACAAAGAATATTAGATGGCACGCAGAAGAAAGAAAATGTGATGGACAAATTCTCCATGTAGCTCATTCTTTGCAATGGAAGAAAATAGATTCTTTGTTTCCAAATTTTAGCAAAGAGTCGAGAAACCTTAGACTTGGACTTTCTACTGATGGAATGAATATGTTTGGCAATCTAAGTACTAACCATACTTTTTGTCCTGCTCTCCTGATAATTTATAACCTATCTCCTAAGTTGTGCATGAAGCGTAAATATATTATGTTATCGATGATGATTTCGGGCCCAAAACAACCAGGAAATGACATAGACGTTTATCTAAGTCCACTGATTGATGATTTAAAAGTGTTGTGGGAGGAAGGGGTGGATTTTTTTCTTCTGAATTAGTGCCTTTGGGGTTTATCAAATGGAAAATGACAATAGAAAAAAGGCTACAGGACTCCAACCCAAAGTAAGCGTGGTATAAATTATAATTCTATATTTAATTTCTATCATAAGTATTCACTAATTGTGTCATTCATTTGTAGACAATGCGACAACATAACTCTATTGGTTGTGGGTACTATGTCATGAAAAATATATTGGATATTGTCTCTGCCAATATAACCGAGTCTTAGTTGCAGGTAATACAAATAACTTTACTTTGTTATTTACTTTGCGTTTTGCAACTTAAGGTGAATTTTTAAAGAATAATTTTATATTGTTATTTACGTATTGTAGGTATTTGATGACCCAACAGAATTAACACAAGATGATTTGTATGATTTGCGACTTCATTGGGCAAAATGTTTCTTTGAGTTATATAAAAATTAAGCTTTATCTAGTAAGTTATATACAATTGTCTATATATATCTGATTTGAGTTTCTTGACTTTGGTATTATCTGCTGATGTTTATTGGTATTATTATTTATTGTCAGCAAATGTGATTTTGATGTTGTCTACTGAAGCTAGCTACAACTCATCTTCTTGTGGATTGCATGTTGGTAATTCAAGTGTGGGAAAGGACTTATAAATGGTTGGATATTTTTGTATGTTTTCACTGGTTTTGTTGTTGTATTAGTCCACCGTGTAAACATACATATAATTTTGTACACTTGTGTGTATACTAGATTAGTACTTTTGTAAATCAATTTGTTCATGTTGAAAAATATGTGCATCCTAGCTATTTGGGGCAATAAAATTAAAAGGTTGGTTGAAAAATATGAAAAATTACATACCAAATAGCGACTAAAATGTGACATGTGTGATGTTGGAAAAATATGAAAAATTAGGTACCAAAAAAAATTATAGGGATTCCACATCGATTCTGATAAAAAATAGTCCAATTTTTTAAGAAACACAACTTACATTTTACATCGGGTGCACCTTGCAACCGATGTAAAAACATTCATTTTGAAGAAAGATATCGCACATTTTACATCGGGCCTGAAAGGCAACCGATGTAAAAACATACATTTTAAAGAAATGAGCACACATTTTACATCAGGCCAAAAAGGCAACTGATGTAAAAACATACCTTTTACATCGGTTCTGCTGGCCAATCGATGTAAAAACATACCTTTTATATCGGTTTTGGGTGTCAACCGATATAAAAAGTGTTTTTTTAAATAAAATAATTACACTCATATTTCACATCAGACTTAACTGTCAACCGATGTACTAGATATATTTTTCACATCGGCCTACGACCCGATGTAAAATGTCTTTGATTTACTACATCACTTGACTTTACATCGAACCCAGACCCGATGTAAAAAAAAAATTTCGCACTAGTGAGCAATGCACTTGATTTTCAACTCTTAAAGATGTCAACTCGGCACAAGTTTCAACTCAATTGTTGCATGATTTGATTCATGTTTCTCTCTTTTCAAACAAACATGTATTTTCTCTACTATCTCCATTTTATTTTCAAAAAGGCTAATAATGATTATACATTTGATTATGGTGAGAATGGTGGAAGAAGGAAATGTTGGAAGTAACATGAAAATGAATAGTATTGCATGTGTCTTGAAAGTTGAAATTCCAAATTGTTTTTATCGTAAAAAAATTTGATGTTTATATATCTTACACAAACGAACACACAACTTATCAAAAGCTTATGGGTTGGAGAGAAGTACCAATTACACAGGCCTTAAGTCCAAAATAGTTCTTTTAAAGAAAATTATATTAAACGATTTTCAAATACATAGTTTAAAAAAATTTATATTAAATAGTTTATAAATACAATTCTAAATTTTTTAATTAAAATTATTAATTTATTAATTAAAAATATTAAATAATAAATTATTCAAGTCATCATTATCATGTCATTAAAAATAAATTTTATAATCTAATCATCATTAAATAAAATAAAATCCAAGAACTAAAAAATAGTTTTTAAAGGGGACTAAAAATTTAAAATAAAATCCAAGACCAAAATGCATTTAAATTTTCTGATTTTCTAGTGTTGCTAATGATATTGATAAAATTTTCTTTGCCTTTAAAAAAATATATAAAACAGTTTTGTGTAGTGTTGGCTAATTAAGTTTTATCTCTCTCATTGCCATGTCATTAAAAATTATGATATACAAATTTATTTTATCAAGATATAATGCTACCGATTCAAGAAGTCAATGTCATCTTAAATTAAATTGAATAATACACATCTTTTTTTTTATACATTTAACTCATCGGCTATTCTAAGTGAACATTTTTGTTCCAACACTGTATGCAACATTCTATATAATTAAATCAACATAATAAATATAAAAGATAAATAAAGTATAACAATATAAAAATAGAATATTGAGTTCCATAAATCATAACAACTATCCATGGTAGCATAGTAATATTCATTATACAACCCCATTCCTTTTCACACTTCCTTCACAAACAACCTCACTCTTCCCACCAACAAAGTGATATATGATAGTATAATTAAACAAATGGATAATTACAACAACGCATACAAAAATAGACACGAAATAAAAATTATAAAAAATAAATATAATTTTCTTTTTGTGAAAAGGACCAATCCCCTCTTGGCCCTCTCTGACTCTGAAATCCCAAACTCTTTTCAAAATTTCTCTTAATTAACCCTACATATAAACACACCTTCTAATTAATCTCTTTCTTTAATAAAAAATTTAGCACATAACACACCATTCATTATTCTTTAATCTTCATTAACCCCACCATTGATGCACTGCAACACCTTCATCTCTTAACTTACCATACAAAGCCAAACATTCCCAATAAGCTCTTCTATTTTTATTCTCAGTTTTAAAACCATGTTGTGGCTTGCACTCCAAGAAAAGCTCATCGACTAAACCAATAGAATTGCTTCTCATAATCTCTTCAACAACCTCAGCTTCCGCTTTCATCACAACATACTCTTCTTCTTTCACATTCTTATTCAACCAATCTGACATCGACACTACCTTCTTCTCCGATTTCTCCGACTTCTCTGGCACCACCGTTGTCTCGATTTTAATCATCTCGAATTTTCTGTTCCTTGTAGGGTAATTCTTCAAAAACCAATCGGTACCGCTTCCTCCGGATTTCTCCGGTAATCCTACGTGGATGAAGACACGGCGGGGGTAGCTTTCGAGTGAATCTCCCATTAAATCGGGTAAATACCTTGTTCGCTTCAAATACTTTCGTGATTTTCCTGATGCAGCTCTTGGTGGCTCTAAGAGAACGTCTTCCAGATTCTGTAATGCAATTTTCTTTGCTTCAGCGTAACCTAAGAGCTTTCTCGGCACGGCGAGGTTAAGTTTGTTGTGATCGGCAGTAATGACGGCTGTTTTCTTCATCGCCACCGCAACAGAATCAAATTGTCTCATATAAACAATTCTGTAATTCTTTGGCTTATAAAACGATGCTGGATTATGTTCGCTCATCAGAACAGTTACAACACCTTCCGGTTTCAGAACCCTCTCAATGAATTTAGAAGCTTCAGGAAAGTTAGTTGTGAAAATAAAATCAATAGTATTATCAACGACAGAGTTCTGTTTCTCAATGTCTTCTAATGGAACAAATTCCATTTCGTGGCTGAAATCAGTTACGCCTTTCAACGACTCGTCGTTTGCGAGGAAAACCGCTTTGTGTTGCGTTTTCTTAAGAAGGCCTTCGTTGGTTAAGTCATGAAATAAAATTGAGAGTACTTGCTCGGTGTCGATTGAATTCTTGGCGAAATCGACAATTGAACCTGAAGAAGTGATTCTCTTGGAATTGATTATGAATTGGAAAGAAGCTAAAGCGAAAATCAAAAGAAGTACGCGTTGGAATATTTTAATGAATTCTGAACTTGGAAGCCGGATGATGAGATAACGAGCTGCTAGCGGCTTATTGCTTTTTCTACAGCCTGTTGCTAAGGTAGCATCAATAAGATCTATAGACATTATTATGATGAAGTATTAATATAATGAATGGTGATATTGAAATACTATAGAGAGAATTTAGGTGAATTTTTTATGTGTAGTTTTTTATTTTGTTTTTGGAATTGTGATAGAGAAGAAAAAAAGTAGGAATTGTAGAGGCAGAGAGAGAAAAGAGAGCGAGGGTAAAAAGGGAATTTAGCGAGTGCAAAATCGAGCCGCGGTATGGTTTCCACCCACAAGAGCTACGCGGTTAATTTGCAGAGTAGACCATAGTATCATCAATTCCTTCATACGTTGAACCTCCATTTTCGAAAGTGGGACCCAGTTCGATGATGTTTTTTTTAATACATCTAGGTGTGGTGTGATGTGCTACAAGACTATATCCCCTCCGTGTTAGTGGCACGGTTGGGACATATACAAGCTCAACCTCAACCCTCTCACCTTTTCAACAATTAAAAAAATATTTTGGTTTGGAAGTTTGTGAAGGATTGGTGTGAAATTTGGTGGAATGAAATGTGGAATAGGAATGTGAAAGGTTATATTGGAGTGGATTACAATGGAGAATGGGTTTGTTTTTTTTTTGGACTACAATGGTTGGCTTCACGAAATTTGAGTTACGCCATTGATATTTTTACTATAGGCTTTATATCTCTTGTTGAGATTGTATCTTTTTTTTTTCATTGGTGCGACCAAAATACATGCTGGATATGTAAGTTTGGGTTGGCATTGTTTTGGTAATAAAAGTTGAAAATTTGAAAAAATAATAAAATTTAGTTGATAAATAATAACAAAATTTTTTTCGGAAAATTTAAAATATTAATTATAGGTAGGGTGATAAGTTAAATTCTCGTTCAATATTATTTTTTTAATGAAATATATTTTATAAATACATTTTGTTTATTAACAAAAAAAAAAGTTAATATTGATTGAATTGTTTTCCTTTGTTAACTTATGTGTTCTGTTGTTTTGGTGATAACATAAAGCTAGGTAATTAGCTTTTACTAACTCATTTGCAGTGTTGTTGTGGTGATAACATAAGATAGGCAATTAACATTTTCTAACGAATTACATTTTGAATGTAAACTTTTTTAACTTAATATTATTTATTTTGGTACTAACAAATACAATATCCATAAAGAATTCATTAGTCATGAGATATAGTAGATTTTATCACACAAAATAAGTAGTATATATATAGTTGTAGCAGACACATTCAATTTCTCTATACTGTCAGAGGTCTCACCAACAATGTAAAGAAAAAGAACAGAATGTTTCCTCACTCTTTTTTTTTTCTTCTTATTTGTCCTTGTTACTAATCTCATAGAAATCTGTTTCTTTTATTTTTTTTTATAGAAATATTAATTTTATTTTACTTTTAGTTACTGTGCAAAATATAATATATTTTTTATTTTGATATTGTTTTATAACTTTTTTTTTACCGTTTTTGCATACATTTATCATTATAACTTAATTTATTAAGATATTTTTTAAAATTTTATAAAATAAATTAACGAATATATTATATTAAATTAGTATAATTAATTAAATAAATAATATATATTTAATTTAAATTTAAATATATGATATTATATATATCTTTTACTCTAAAAATGTTTTTGTCTTTTCAAAATTTAGACACATTTTTTTTATATATATTTCTTTTATCTTTCTGTTATATTAAAAAATACCTCAAATCTTTTTATTTATTTCATATATAACTCTTCTCATATTCTAACGCATCTATTTCTCTCTTTTAATTTCTCCCACGACCAATCATGTTGGTACAAAGGTGAATAAATGATGAACAAAGGAAATATTCTATTAAGAATGACGGCTACAAAACATGATAAAAGTTACAATGATTGTCACCCTATTTATAAGCTAAAACTAGGGTTACTAGAATAAGATAAAATACTAAAATACCCTCTAACAAACTTAGGGGCTAAGAAAATAGTATAACTAAATAAATATGAATTACTATTAACATTCTAATACCATCCCTTAATTCATATTCCATCAAAACTTGTAACACCAATTCCATCCCTTAGTCTGAGAAATTGATCAGTCTTGATAGCTTTCGTCAGAACATCTGTCAACTGCTTCTGAGTGCTGCAGTGTACAACTTCTAACACTCCACTCTGAACTTGATGTCTCAGAAAATGATATTTGGTCTCAATATGCTTGCTTCTCCCATGCAACACTGGGTTTCTGGCAAGATTGATTGCAGACTTGTTGTCAATCATCAACTTCAGAGGTTTGTCTACTTTAATCTTCAGATCCTGCAACAGATTCAGAATCCACACAGCTTGGCATGCAGTAACAGCACCTGCAATGTATTCAGCTTCACAGGTTGACAACGCCACAACAGGTTGCTTCTTGGAACACCAAGAAATGGAACCTCCCAGAAATTTGAACAAGTACCCAGATGTACTTCTTCTGTCAACTCTGTCTCCACACCAATCAGAGTCTGAATAACTCAGAAGTTCTGACTCATTATTTCCTCCAGAGGGAAATAACACTCCATACTTCAGAGTTCCTTTGATATACCTCAGAATCCTGACAGCAGCTTGGTAATGGGACCACTTAGGTTTACTCATGAACCTACTAACCATCCCAACTGAGTAGCAAATATCAGGTCTGGTATTGCACAGACACCTTAGAGAACCAACCAACTGTTTGAAGGTTGTAGCGTCCACATCCTTTCCTTTAGAGTCTGAATCCAGTTTCTGATTTGTATCAGAAGGTGTGACAGCCATCTTACAATTCTTCAGATCAAATCTCTTCAGAAGTTCTAATTCATACTTGAGCTGATGCAAAATGATACCTTTCTCAGAATATCTGAACTCCATCCCTAGAAAGTATGTCATTTTGCCTAGATCAGTCATTTCAAATTCATTCATCAGAACTTTCTTGAACTTGGCTATCTCCTGTTCAGAACTTCCAGTCAGCAGTATATCATCAACATATAAACATACCAGAGTCATATTGCCTTCAGAAGTATGCTGAACATAGACACCGTACTCCATCTCACATTTCTGAAAGCCTTGCTTCTTGAAAAATGAATCAATCTTCTGATTCCAAGCTCTGGGCGCTTGTTTCAATCCATATAGAGCTTTGTATAATCTGTACACCATCCCTTCCTGATTCTTTTTCACAAATCCAGGAGGTTGTGACACGTAAACTTCTTCTTCTAATGTACCATTCAGAAATGCAGATTTTACATCTAAATGCATCAGAGGCCAATTCCTGTTAGCAGCTATTGCAATCACCATTCTGATTGTTTCATGTCTTGCTACATGTGCAAACACTTCAGAGTAATCCAGCCCAGGTTTTTGTAGAAATCCTCTGGCTACCAACCTTGCTTTATGTTTGCCTATTGAGCCACCTGGCTTTAACTTCTGCTTGAAAACCCATCTGACGCTGATGGCTTTCTTGTCTTTTGGAAGTTCTGTCAGCTTCCAAGTCTTGTTTCTCTCTATAGCATCAAGTTCTTCTTTCATGGCCTTCAGCCAGAGCTTCTGCTTAAGAGCCTCCTCTGTACTTATAGGTTCAAACTTCAAAGTCTACTAACATGGCACACTGAATAACTTCTCCTTCAGAGTCTACTTCAGTGTCTTGCAACATGTCAAACTCTGCAAATCTTCTGGGAACGCTTCTGATTCTATGTGGTCTCTGAACTTGTTCAGAATCTTGAGCTTCAGAGTTTCCAGCTTCAGATGGTTGACTTCCTCTAGAGCTTTGACCATCTTCAAGATCTGGCATATTTTCAGAGTCTTGGCCATCTTCAGAGTCTGAATTGCCACCAGAATCTGGATTACCATCAGAGTCTGGATCATCAGAGTCAACTTCATCTTCTGAGTCTTCTCCAGAGTCAGAATCACTATCAGAGTCAGAATCAACGTCAGAGTTTACTTCAACTTCAGAAATTCTTAACTCTGACCTTTCTTCAGAAGTTTTAACATCAGAATCAGATTGAGACTTATCCCAATTCCAAACTTCTGATTCCTTCACAATCACATCTCTGCTGAATTCAATTTTATTGGTTTCTGGACAATAGAGCTTGTATGCACCTGTACTGTGGTACCCTATCAGAATCATCACTTTGCTTCTATCATCCAGCTTCTGTCTTCTGGCTTCTGGAACATGTTTATAGCAAACAGAACCAAACACCTTCAGATGACTAACACTTTGCTTGTTTCCACTCCACTTCTGCATAGGAACTATTTCCTTCAACTTCTTCGTAGGACATCTGTTGAGTACATACGTTGCAGTGGCAACAGCTTCTCCCCAGATCTTCTGAGGAAGCTTCTTCTCCTTTAGCATGCTTCTCACCATATCAAGCAAAGTACGGTTTCTTCTTTCAGCAAGACCATTGTGTTGAGGGGTATAAGGAGCAGTAACCTCATGCTCAATTCCATTCTCCTCACAGAACTTCTGGAACTCTTTGGAGTTATACTCACCTCTACTGTCAGTTCTAAGAATCTTCAACTTCTGACCACTCTGATTCTCAGCCTTCATTCTGAATTTCTTGAATTCATCAAACACCTCGTGTTTGAACTTAATAAGGGATACCCATGTCATTCTTGTGAATTCATCAACAAATAGCACAAAGTATTTATTCCCTCCAATTGATGCTACTGGAAATGGACCACACACATCAGAATGTACAACTCCCAAGGCATGTTTTGCTCTTGGAGCAGCTTCTGACGCAAATGGCAATCGTGGTTGTTTTCCTTCCATGCAAACTTTGCATGATTTTTCAGGCTTCTTAATTTCAGGAATTCCATGTACCAACTTCTTTGAATTCAGATGTTTTAGGCTTCTGAAATTCAAATGACCAAATCTTCTGTGCCACAGCTCACTCTCCTTCTCAGCACATGTTGCACTAAGACATTCTGAGTCTGCAGTTCTGACATTCACCTTGAATGTTCTATTCCTTCCCTGTTCTGACTCCATAATCAACTTCTGATTGTAGTCATACAGCTTCAGAAGATTGTCCTTCATGGTAACTGAAAAACCTT